CCAGATGTGACCTCGGCACCGCATCACATAGGAAAACAACCCTAAACAACCGGTGTTTGTTCCCTCTGCAAACACCGGACCACTGGAAGCACCGAAGAAACAGATGATCAGACTTTTTTTTTTTTAAAATGGACACTTGTGTAACTGAAAAAAGTAACTAAGCCTTTAAGATGAATACTTCCCCTCTTGATTCTCCCTGCTTGCTGTCCGCCTGCAGCACAGGTCAGAAGAAATCTGACAAATTTAAAGATCCAGTTGTTTAATTTAATGTGAAAACTGTGAGAAAGAAAAGTCTGCTCACTGGAAAACGCCATCACCAGGTTGTCTGTTGGCCCTGGGTCAGCCAAATAGTCATACTGATTCCTGTCTGCCTCCAAACATCACATTTCCATCTCCACTCTGGAAACAGAATCAGACTGAATCCCAGTTGTGATAATCAAAATGAGGCTTTCTATGATCCATCTGTTTTCTAGTTTTATTGCAAACACAAACAAGAAAATAAACCTGAGAAATACAAATCACTGACAGCTAAGTGGAAAAATGTGGACCACCGTATGTCACCACATGTGTTTGACTCGTATCAGAGTTACAGAGTGGTGACCTGTTCAGAGCGTATCCTGGAATAGCTGGCTGTGGGCTCCTATTATACTCAAAGAAAGCACCAAAGGTGTTGACCTGGCCTCCAAACTCCAACTCACCTGACCCCCAGAGGTATAGGTTGGTGGATTACCCCATGGCCCTTTAACCGGTTAATCCGGCCATGGTTTCCAGCGCTCCACATATGTAATGTTTAGAGGAGGGCGTGGGCGGGAAAAGAGGAAATACCCACTCTCGCTGCCTTGTAATTAGACCTCAACAAACAGGCGCACCCTCGCATGCCTCAAACACACGACTGACCTCATTCAGAGAGACGACTTTGTGCTTTTATTGTGGTAAATTTTATTTGTCATGAGCTGAGACAAAGCTTTAGCAGGCAGCTGTTTCTTGCTTTTTCCTTGCTGTGAAAGAATATCAGCTTGGACAGGGACAAACTTTAGTTATGGGTAATCTTTACTATAGCAAAGACACAGAGCTGCTGCAGAAAAGGTTCATGTAGCAGCATACAGGGGATATATTTATATATCTAGAGGCTTAACAAGTTATATTTATCTATTATAGTCACGTCATCACTAAGGAAGACTCTCAGGCACACGGTTATCCTGGAAAAACTTTTGTCACGTCACACAAGTCACAAATCAAAGCAAGCTGGATGTTAGCAAACTTTAAAAAACATCATCATCAAACTGGGTAGAAGTGGAAGAACTGCTGAATATGTACACTCAGGTGTCCACCACTGAGCAGGTCACTCAATCCTGACAAGTCTGAACGCAGCAGAGATCAAAAAGTGTTCGACGGTGCGAGAGCTGGAGATTTCTCAGCAGAGCAGCAAAAGCACTGACCTGACACTGCTGTCACGTCTGCAGGGGGGGCATGAGTAAGCTGAGCATTAAGACCAAAAACGAAGAGGACACGGGTGTCTGCCTCTACATAAATATAACTTTAAACTGTCTGTACCCATTTCTGAGCATTAATCTTCACTTTTTGTTAGTTTCACCAAACTAGGCTGAGACAGATTTTTTAAAGATTCCCGCATCCCTAAAAACCCACTTTCTTCTGATTGGTTAACATCTGGAAGAAAATACTTTAACATCATGAATTCAAAATGTGGTCATTCGTCAGATGGACACTTTCTGTGATATACTCACTGAATAACTGCTCACTGAAGCAAGCAGTGGATACAATGGTATCCTCTGTTAACTGTCCACACTGTCAATAAATAGCACATTTTTGGAAAAAAAAAATGAAGACAGTTGTGTTAAGGTATTTCGTTTAGGAATAGAGACCTTTGTAACGTCTTCTTATTCTCCATCTTAAATCTCCGGTCCCAATGTCTGGTGTTCACATTAAACAAGACAAAAAAATTCTAATAATGAGGTCAGTGTTTCTACAAGTTTTGAGCCAAAAGCACAGGCCCCACCCACCGGCTTAGGGGGGGGCAGCCAATCAGAAGACAGCTGACTTAACTGTGAATCACGCAAAGCTACTCTGAGAGGATCCAAGAATAATTACATGAAGCAGGAAATGGGACTAATAGGTCGCCTTTAAAGGTCTTGCTATAATCTGTAGAGTGTATAGGAGAGTAAGTACCTAATCAATAACAATTATGTGATGATTAGAAATGAACTGTAATGAACTCTAGAAAATAACTGTGACATACGTCTTTTAAAAATGTAACTGTTGATCAAAAAAATACCTGTGAGACATGTCCACGGTTTCATTTTTATTTAAGTAAAACTAAGAAGCGACACAAAGCTATAAATCAGCTCGTTGCACACCATCGGTCGCTGTTCGATTAGCACGTCTTTCTCTGCATCACTGGTCAGTTTACGAACACCCAACTCATTCGTCTTTTGCTGCTTCGCACAGAATTGGACCGAGCTGTTCATGGAGTCAAAAATCAATCAATCAAAAAAAAAAAAATCCCTTGCTAGTCTCGTGTAAAAGTTGTGCACTCGCAGATTTGAACTCCTAAAGACGAGTCACTTTTTCCTCTGCCTGGTGCAGTGGTGGCAGCAGGTGAGTCGATCTCGCCTCTCCCCGCCTATCTCGCCATCAGTCTGCAGGTCAGCTGTTTCTAATTCGTTCTCTGGTTCAGACAGTTGTGTTTTTTTGTCATCTCAGGTAACAGACAAAAAAGAAAGAGAGCCACCTGTCTGACCCCCTGACCTCTGACCCAATTCCCTCCCCCTGTCAGTTCTTCTTCTCCTTCTCCTGTGTGTGTTCATGTCAGGGGTTTGGTCTGTCCCCAGCTTCAGGGGGTGTCTGGAGAACTCGTTCCCTTGTTTTCGACCGGTTTCCCTTCCGATCTTCTCGTTTTCCTCTTGCGCGCGCTCTCTCTCTCTTTTGCTGGTTCATTCTCTCTCTGCCTCGCTTGCTCAGCCTGGGCCCAGACTCCCATCAGCGTCTCCTGGAGGACAGAGCAGGACATTTACTGCAGAGGTGCTGAAAGTAAAGCTAAAGCCTGACCCCTTCAAAATAAAACTACTGTGAAAAAAAAAATTTCTGTTAAATAAAATTAAAATAAAAACTAGACCTTTGAAAAAAAAAAACAAAAAAAAAAAACTTCAAACCAATTCAGACAATTTTTTGACCTTGGAAAACCTAAGACAAAATAACAGAAGAGGTTTTTGTATTTGCTTGTTATTACAAATCTGAACGTTGAGGTTTCGATTATCGAGGTTTTAAATATCTACAACAGGGGTCGGCAACCCTGGGCATGCATGCCACAGCTGGCACGCGAAGGGTTAACCGATGGCACGACCATAGCTGGACTGGCCATTGCGCATTTGCCCGGTGGCCCGATGGACATTTTTCGTTTTTATGGGCCGATGATTTTTTTTTTTTTTGTAACGGTATAAACAATGAAAGGTGGTGGATTGGCCAGATGCTGGCCGATGTGTAAAAATAACTCAGTTGTTTGGTGGTGGCTATGGCGGAGCTTCCACAGAGGCCAGCAGGTGGATGAGGGAAGGGGAGGCAGGAGGAGGGGCCCCGTCGGGGCGGCCGCCGGTCCGAGTGTGAACTGAACTTCAGGTAAGAAGTTATGACCTGCAGTCTGTCTGGGTCAGATATAAACCAGGTTTAGGTGTATTGTTGTGAGGAGACCATAAACAGCATTTGCATTTTCTATTGTACAGTTCATTTGCTGTTATGGAGTTCTTGTTATGGATAAAAAGTGTCTTTTGTTTCAAAATAGCTGATAACTATTCGCTGATAGCTGCCAACATCTGCGAACAAATATAATTCTATAAAGTTGTTCTATATAGTGTGTAACTGTTCATATAGAGCGTTATTAAATTTATTGCTAATGCAATCATATGGCACATTGACTTCTGAGGAAATTTTAGATGGCACTCATCATCAGAAAGGTTGCCGACCCCTGATCTACAAGACTGAGCGTCAGCTACTTTCAAAAAGTTTATTTTCTATACTGATTTTACTAAAACCATCTTCTAAATCTATCACTGAAAACAAACAAACAAAAAAAACCCAAAAAAACATAAACATTCACAACTAAACTGAAATGACCAAACCTGCTCCTTAAATATATGAAAAACGCTTTTCCTGCTCAAGTTTCTTTTTTAATGTCTGGATTCCACTCTTGACTTTGGGGTTTTTCATACATCAGTTAAATGATTGAGGTAGTGGACAGACTATTTGTGTGTTATACAAAGTAAAAGTGCTGTTTTTGTACATAGAGTTTGGTGTGTCTCTAGAACACAACTACTGTTTGCTGTTAGCATTGGGACAAAAATATTAGAACAGGATGTATTTGTTTTTCAGACACCGAAAAAAAAAATTTTTTCATTATGCTCTAAGTCCAAGATTTCTTTGTTTTTTGTTCTCCACCACCTAAAAGCTCCACCAACCGGCAGCAGCTAGCCTCTAACTGTGGACTACAGAGGCTGTTTAGAGCTTTTAATGGTATATAAGCTGGTATATAATGATATGGTATGTGGTGGCTAGCTACAGAGCTATGGTTAGCATAACATAAACACAGTAAAGCCGGAGGATGAACGCTAAGTTTTTTCCACTCGAAAAAAGTTAACGCGAGGGTTCCTGATGGTTAGGGACAAATGCAATCGCATGGCAGGATGCTGTAAACAGACCAAACTTCAGTCAGGAGAACAACTGTTAAAATTCATCCACAATACGAGGTTAGTCATTAACATACTGCTGCACTGACTGGTTATAAAAGCTAAGCTTTAAAATGAACAGTGGTAATAAAAACTGAGAGAGGCCAACAATGATCAATGACTATTTGCAAAATAGAGCAAAGATAAAGAGGAGTAGAATATAATAGGTTTTTTTTTTAAAGCCACTCAGATATACCGTCATAATAATAACGTCTCGTGTTGTGCTTTGGTTTTAGAGATACAACAAAGATGCACGAAGCGGTGTTGATGTCAACATGTAACCAGGAAGTGATCTTTATTTGCAGACTTCAATTTTTAAAGGGGGAAAAAAAAATAACTAAATAAACTTACTTGAACTGTCTGCACTTAAAAAATGAGATTCAGTGAAAATAGGAACAAGATGTCCTCAATACTGAGATTTTTTGCTTGCTAAAGCCTCGCCTTTGGACTGCTGCAGCTCTGGCTCTTTTAGCCTACTCCAACTCATATCTTTGGTTTCTCTCCTGCTTCTCCTGCCTGTCTCGCTTCTCCTGACTTTCATTTCTTGCTCTTTTCTCTCTGTTCAAAGAGACACCAACGAGGCGCTTTCAGTGCACGGTGAACTTAACAAACACTAAACTGACACAACCTGTAGCCAGACTGTCGCCGATTGGGGACCGAGCCTCACCTTCCTCCGGTCTTGAAGATGAGGTCAGCGTTGGGAGCGCCTTTCGGGTGCTGGTAGCGGGGACGGCGCTCCCGGTTGGTGTTGGCTGGAGCCGGACGCTGGGCCAAAGACTGCATCATCTCTGTGACATGGAGAGGAAAAAGGAAGTTCAGTCAGAAAACTGATATGAAAAATATTTCACATTTCAACAGTTTATGACAACAAGGAGACAAAAACCAAAAACAAGCAGACACAAACTGATGACTAATAAAAAAAACTAAGAGCATGGATGACTGATCTTGTCCTGTGTTAGCAGTTATTATGGCTTTTATCAGGCCGCTGCTGAATACATGTGTGTGAATGGGTGGATGACTGGATGTGTAAAGCGCTTTGGGGTCCTTAGGGACTAGTAAAGCGCTATGCAAATACAGGCCATTTACCATTTACATGAACAGGAAGCACGTCCAGTGTCCTTACGCTTAATTTAAGCTTCTGTGTTGAGCCTACCTGCAACCTGCGAGGGGCATTTGTTTTTTGTTTTTTTTGTTGCCCTGCAGTTTCACCAACAGAACATTGTCATTCAAGTTGATTTAAAACGATGTGACTACGGTGAAGATTTAACATGTATACACTGCACCTTAGTGGAATAAAATCAGCAACGTCTAGGACTGAACTATGTGGAACCAACAAGTAGCAAAACCTGCAGTTCCGCTGATGGCCACTAGCCAAACCCACAGACTTTCACATTTAAATGACAAATTTACTGCATAAATAAAAAGCCTAGTTTGGTCTCCATAGCTTCTTTAGTCCTTGTTGACTTTAAATCACTACAAATGGATTTGTTGTCATTTCCCTTAGAGGTTTCACTCAGAGCCAAATTATATTTAACCACAGACTTGTTGCCTCTACTGAAAACATCCCCCCTGCAAAGGCCCAGTCTGAACCCATAAACCTCCTACTACTAAAGCTCCTCTGAGGTAAGCGGCAGCAGCAGAAAGTGAAGGTTTATCAGGACTCTTACATTTCTAGAGTAATTATTAGAAGCCAATAAAAACCTAATACCTTGAAAAAAAATGAATCAAACTCATGCACTCACCTTTTAACCACGCCCCCCGACAATACACAACTATAATAATCTGTGCAGATTTAAGGTGGAAATGAACCAGCTTTTTCTTGTCAGTGTGACCTTGCACAGAGAAAGAACTTCAAAGGACTCACTGGGTAAGCAAAACAACACACCCTGATTTCAGGTCAAAGGTCACCGTTTGCTTTCACAGATCAGATATGAAACAGAAGCCGATCCACTCGTGTAACCTGGGCAGATGCGGTAACAAACAATAAACAAACAGTTTCCATGGTTACCCTGGTAGTCCTCCTGCTCCTGCCGCTCGTTGATGTCCAGAGTGAGCTTTTTCATTCTCATGCGCTCCTCCTGCTCGGCCTGCTGCTGGTTGAAGTGATTCGCCGCCAAGTGGGAGGAGAGCGGCACGTTCAGGATCTTATACTGTTCAGGAGAATGAACGACAGTTTAGCTGGACAAAGGCATTTTTTTATAAATTCACATTCCGATAATTCAACAGCATTGTTTAAAGTTATCATTTTGTCTCAAATCGTAGATTAATTATTTATGCTCGGATCAGCTTGTAAGTTGCAGAGTGCCCTCTGGTGGATAAACTACGCAACATCAACACTAATAACCTGGCTGAAGGGTGTTTCTCTGGTCTCACCTGTGCTTTTTAAATAGTATTCATCTATCAGATACCGATAGATGTCTCTCCATGTCTATCCGGTATCTGATAGAAGTTGATAGTGACATATCAGCTCAGTCTTTTTGTGTAGGCGTCGCTGCTCAGCCCCCCTCAGCTCTGTCAATGTACTGTTGGCAACTTGCAATTTATTGTCCCCAAAGAGAAAGTTTGTTTCAGGACTCAAAGTATAAAGTATAGTAGTATTTCAGTCAGGTTCTAGTAATTACAGCATAGCATTTTTAAAAACTTTTTTTTTTAAACTAACTAATTAATTAATTAATTACAGTGTAGCATGACTACATGCAAAGTGTATGTAAACTAGAATTCACACCAGACGTCGCGAATACAGGCAGATCTCAACTTAAATTATTTTAACTTCACACTGTATCATGAAAATCCATTCACTGGGATTCTCCTGATGCATGAGAGAATCGAGGAAAGACCGGTCGACTGAAGCAGAGCTTCACCTTCAGACAGATGGAAAACGGTAGAGGGTTCGAAGAAGCGTGCAGAAAGAAAGCTTCTGACAGTCTTTCTGTAGGGTGTACTCTGCGGTTTTCTTTAGGCCAGAAAGTGATTCATCTTGTGAAGTTACAATAGTGTTTGACTGACAGCAGAATTTCTTACTCTCTGAAAACTGATATCAGTCCCTCAACTGGCTGAGCATGAGATTTCTAGAGCTACAGATCTCTCAGACACACCGACAAAGACGCCCTGTGTGCGTTGGCGTTTCTGGCAGCTGTTTTTCAAGCAGGCTGAACGCTGCATGAAACCTCTGTGCACAGGCAAAGTGCTGGACACACCCAGCAGCACAACAACCAGCCTCTGCCCTCAAACCACACATTCCACCACGCAGCGGCTGGCCTTAACGCACGCACACACACACACACACGCACGCACACACACATGTGTTTCTGTATGTGTGTTAGGACGCCTGCTGACATACACGCAGTTTTTTCCATCTATAGTGCTGAAACTGTTTCTCTCAGGAAGCCTTACATACATAATGGGCACAGTTAGAGAACACAGAGGGGCATTTAGCAGGAAATTTTCCTCAGAAGGACATGAAGACCAGAAACGGAACAAAAAGAGACTCATTAGTGTACCAACATCCACCTCAGGGGTGCAAACATGACTCTGAATGATAAAGCTGCTGAATCAACTTCAGACAGAAGCAACATCAACGGTCCTGCAGAAATGCCCTCCCTAGAATAGATAGACACTGAAACTGGCTCAGATAAAGCGCACACACACACACACACACACACACACACACACACACACACACACACACACACACACACACACACACACACACACACACAGTCAACATTATTAAGCATTCATTTATGCAAACCATCTCCTTAAAGGACAACCAGGATGAACTTTAAAATTGTTGATCCTGCAGAGAACAAATTAGCAGAGCTAACAAAAACATAGGCTGCTTTTGTGAACTACAGGAGCTACAGTCCTGCACTCTGTGAGTGGCAGCTAAAGGAGATCGTTACTGTAACCTGCAGTTGCTGGAGCGAGAGTGCAGACAGTTTTCACACCTGATCGCTCCACTATTCATCGCCATTACGTGTAAATTCTACTGTTAATGTGGAATATTTTAGAAACCTTAAGTGCAGGACTCAGTGTACCCTGCAGGATCATTCCACAGAAGATCGGCCAAATAACTGTAGCATACTAATCGAGTTACAAGCCCTTAGAAGATTATTTTGGCCGAGAAGGGTAGAAGATGAACCCGGTATCAAAATGTGGTTAAAAAAAAGACTTTTCACCTGCAACAAACTGCTGTGACCAGCCTGATTTTTAAAGAAGTGCAATAGCTTGGCACATAGATGCCACCTTACCTGCTGCTTATTGCCTTTGCGAGTCAGCATGACAAACTGCATGGTATCGGAGATGTCCGAGTCTCCCTCACTAATGCATGGCTGTCCCTTCTTCAGCTGACTCTTCAGCTGCAGAGGAATGGCAACATCCAGCTGGTGCACCTTCACCGCCTCGCCACTACGCTGCTGCAGTGACACAACACACAGTGAAGAGTCAGTCTGCGAGGTCTGGATCAAAGCTGAGGAGACCTGTACTACTCTATGTTTTCTTATGTTTGTAAAGTGCTTCTTTTCACTGAGCAAATTCATCATGTCCAGAATATCCCATCATTATCTGGCTTACATCAGCAAGATGGCTACCAATGCCATAAGGCTACCTGGGTTTCAAACTAGCTGTGAGCATGTTCACATAAAAGAGACAAAGAAAAACAGTGTAATAAAGGCCAAAAGCTACAAATCTGCTGTTAAAAGAAAAACGCTGCATGTAGCTATGAAACTGTGCACGCGTTTTTAGTCGTTATTATGATTACACTCATCTCTTTGATGTTTTTAGAATTCAATCAAAAATTCAGAGTGCATGTGTGTGTGTGTGTGTGTGTGTGTGTGTGTGTGTGTGTGCGTTTAAGTCAGTAAAGCCTTTTGCAGCACAAAAAGTACTTCATTGCCAGTGTGGCGGCAGGACGCTATACCTGCAGGTTTTCCAGCATCATCTTGTCCAGAGCCTGAATGAAGTCCTCGTCCTCAGCGCATGCCACGTGCTTCAGCCCGCCGCCACGGATGGTCACCTCCTGCACACACAGGCAGCAAATCAACATCAGCAAAAGCACAAATCTTTAAACCAACAAAATGTATTAAATCTAGATTTATACACAGACATTTCCCATCGCTTACATTGTTCTCCTCGTCAGTCTCGTTCTCCTTGTTGGAGTCGGTCAGGTAATCCGTGTTCTCTTCTTCCTCTTCCTCCCTCTCCTCCTCTTCATTCTCTGACCCTTCCTGTTGGAGAAAAAAAACCCCAAAACAAAACAAAAAAAAACAGTCATAGCTATATTTCTGTTTTTGCTGGCCATGCAGCTCTCAGGTTTTTTGATCTGCAGCCGGGTGTGCATGAGTGTGCGGCCGTGTTGGATGTGGGGGTATTATCCTAGTTCACCTAATGACCAGGAGAATACTGCGGTGGGTACCTGACCACCATCTTGGAGTTTTGAAACCAGATGTTTCACTTCTGGGCACTGGGCTCCACCACCCTATGCTAGACGCCACTGTTAACTTTAGACTTTAGACTAGGGTTGAATATTTAGCATTTCCTGTAAGTTTGTTCTGTTGCAAGATGGATTTTGTTTGAGGAAGAACGCCAGAATGGGGGAGTCAACACTCACATCCTCTTCCTGTTCGTTCATTTCGCTTTCATTGCCTGACTGCTCTTCGGTCTCGGCGCCTCCCTCTTCATCATCGTCCCCGTCATCATCTTCCTCGTCAAGACCCTCCCCTTCGCTCATGGCACTGGAGCGGCCGTCCTTCTCCATGGCCAGACCTGCACAAGAAAACGTGGAAAGATTCCTCTTTAGGACACGTAAAACTAAAACAATCAGGAGAAATTATATCATAAATGCCTCTGAGCCCAGCCCAGCCTGGGAGAGCAGCTTTACTCAAACAAAGCCCTCAGTTATATATAGAACAAATATTCCAGAGAAAAATTGTTGTGTCTATGAAGCTCGTCACAGAGCATAATTATGCAAGAAAAGGTAACGGCGAAGAAATGAAGTCTGGCAGTGGCGTGGAGTGGAAGATCAGGTCTTGTGTGACTCAAGGACTGAGGAATGTCCGATCCTGGTTGAAGTATGAAAGGTAACAATAGCTCCACTGTTTAGCTTCAGGGGCCTTCATCAATCACTCTCCTCTCCTACATTCCCACACACAAACACATGCTTACTGCTTATCTACCTGCATAAAGGTTTACACACATAAACACAACAGTGATGGAAAGCTACTGATTACATGTACTTTTATACAGTTTTGAGGTACTTCTGGCTTGTGCTGCTAATCACACCGATGGGGATGTATTAGCAAAGCAGCTGTTAACCTTATCTCTCTCCCATTAATGCCTCTTTGGAGGAATCCGACTCCAAGGAACTACTTTCCCCCCCCACTTTTACTCTAAATAACTGAGTACTTTACAGCTCATGTATCTGTACTTTTACTTGAGTACAGGATCTGCGAGGGTGTCCTGCTCTCAGAGGGCGCAGCTGTGGTTTACATTTTTCTCAGCACATTCCAGGTCAACACCTTGAAACTGTTAAACAAAGCTCACGTTGCTGCGCTGTTATCAGGCCGCAGAGTCAGATACACCTGCTGCGCAAACACTTCCTTCTTCCTCCTCTCCAGATATCATCGTCCTGATTGTGTTTTGGTTTTTACATTCCTGAATATTCGTATTGTCTCTGAGCTCAGATTCTGTGTCGTAAAGATTGTAGTTTCGGGGTTCGAGAAAGAGGTGTTAGGGGTTGCAGCTTATTTACACCTCAGTGGTCAATCTTAACCTCCTAAGACCCGAACTCTTTCATGGCATACATTTTTAATTTCTCTTTGCTATTTGGGCTGATTGGGACCTGATGAATATAAAAACAAAGAATTACATCAGAGTGCTAGAAGAGGTGTACAGACAGCACTTGAAAGAAAATCTCTTAATCGTCACATTTCAGACACTCAACAGACAAAATGAACAAAACAAATGAGTGCATGTCACATGTTTTATCAACAGCACACAAATGCATCTTTGGTGAGATCAGATCTCTCAAGGTTATCAGGCTAGATTAAACTGAGGTCCAGAGGAAGTCTGAAACAGTCGTCATTGATTTTAAAAGATCCTTCCTGAAGTCTCTGTAATGAGTGGGAATGCATGTATTCGGCATTTTAAACAATGAATTCAAACCTGCTCGACAGACAAAGCAGAGGCAGAGAGAGGAGTGACACAGCATGCTCGCTTGCCCTCCCACACACTGGGGAATGCTGCTCTGCCAGGACAACGGAGAGCAACCAAACCGGCAACACCAGCTGCTACACCAACGGCGTCATGCTCCACGCACATTAAAGATGATTACTTAGCGTCACCCTCCTACCTAGTTTGACGAGCACCTCTCTCTCCAGGTCGCTGACTTGCTTGATGGCCTCCTCCAGGGAACTGCTGAGCCTCATCTTAGGCCTGAGCAGCTCCAGCGTGTCGCTGATCATGTAGTCGATATCGATGGGGAACGGGTGGTCCTTGGTCCACACGTCCAGGCTCTTTTTCCACCATATGTACCGCTGCAGACACACAACAACATCTCACTTACTTCACCCCTGACCAGAACACCTCCTGAACAGACCTCACAGGTCTGTCAAACTCAAAACAGTGGCACAGTGATTATACCCAGTAGATTTACAGAAAATATCAGGGTTCCCGAACATAAAGTATAGGCACTTTAGGAGGTTACGTGCCTGGAAGTAGATGAGGAAACAGTCTAACTTCCTCTTGCTGGAGCCTCGATCGAAGTATTGGCCGCAGGTATCAAGCAGGGTGCAGACCAGGCGGATGCGGAACAAATGCTCTGGGGGGTCCAGAGGGCTGGGACTGCCGTCCTGATTCACGCCGAAGGAGATGAAGGAGAAGAGGGTGCGGAAAATGACGGCCGACTCCACCATGCGGTAGTTGTAGAGCTCGCCCAGGAACTTGGCGCTGCTGATCCGCCGCTGGTTGAACTTGGGCTGGTTGACCTAGGAAGTGAGGGAAGAAGAGGAGATCCTAAATTGAGATGTCCAACAATATAATATAGGATGCTGCAGGGGAGAAGAAAAAGAAAATGGAGGGAAATTCTTAAAGCTTTTTGCTGCAGGGCTCAAGACCGCCAACGTCCTGGTTGCTAGGAAAAATGCTTGAATTTCGACTGTTTTGAGGTCAGATGGAGGCCAGATCAGGGTCAAATTGTAAGCATGGCTTCTAAAATATGCAAGTAAGCATTTGCAGCTGTGACACAGGCACGACTGTTTGTGTTCAATTATTTTTTTGTAAAATCACAACCTCAGCCAAGCAAATGGAGTCCGACAACATTCCAACATGTCCTGCAACACGTAGCAGACACAAATGACACAGCAACACAGGTGTCCGCTTCAATCAGCTGCCAGTCAAGCAGATAGCATTGGGGTTTTTTTGATCGTCCTGTCCATTCAATGCTCCTGATCTCACCTCTCCTGCACTAAACGTCCCAAATATATGACACACGAAGCATCTGCAGCTTCAAGTTACAGCGAGGTTAAAGACGTCCAGAACAGTTATTACAACTCAAAAAAACAAAAAAAACAAAAAAAAACCTCCTCAGATTTTCATTTTGAATTTCCACTTTTTAGTTTTGCAAGTAAAACATCTTTAGTTTAGTTTTTAGTATTTTTTTTAGATAACTGCAGTTAGTTTGTAGCCTTACATGAACATGAATAATTTCTATCACTCGACTGGAGATCCTTTTTATTTTGTGTGTGTAAGCAAACATCAGGGCCAACTGAAACAGTTTTCCCAACATGTAAAAAAAAAAAAAGAAAAAAAAGAAAAGAAAATGTAAGAAATAAATACATTCAAGAATATAAAGAACACCCGCTCTTTGGCACTTATTAGTGAAGCATAAATGAAAAAAAGGACTAGATTTCTCAAGAGAAAGCTGAAGAGAAATAATATCGACAGCAAGAAGGAGCAACGTCCTTCTAGCTTCTTCGATATGATCTCTGACTGAATGTGACCGGAGTGAAAGTAAACAAGCGAGCTCGAGAGAGAAAAAGAACGCAAGCTTCGCCATGGTCTGATCTTTCCACAGTCTGCAGTTAAATAAAACCTTTTGCACACATTCAGTCTGCTCATTGTCATGGATACCAGAACAAACATTTTGGGTCAGCGTCAGACTGATAATACATTCCAAATGTTGGGCCAGTGCATCCCTAATGGCAATAAATATAGAAATTACTGATCAGAGAATCAAATTACAGTCCTATAAACTACTAAGGGCTCAGTTAAGGATGAAACACAAAAGCATATCTTGTTTTCAGACTTGATTTTGCTTCTTCTTACCTCCATGCCGAGCCGGATGTCCTCCAGGACACCGTCCACCACGTGGATCCCCACGTCCTCCTGGTAGGCCACCAGGCCAGCCAGCAGGTTGGCCACACAGTGGATGCTGTTGTACTTCACGTTCCAGATGTTGACCATGCAGCAGATCAGGTAGCTCTTCACCTCGGGGTCCTGCCATGGCAGCTTGCGCATCTGCCTCAACACCTTCTCTGTGGTGACCTTGGACAGGTCCTTATAGAGCAGTTTGCAGATGTACTCCTGCAGCGGCGGCCTCTTCTTCTTCACCGTCTTCTCCATGGGCGGCGGGTTGCAGTAGTAGTAGGCGTTCTCCACCATGGTTACGTAGCGGGCATCAAGGTGCTGGGCCTGCTTTTTGCGCATCATTTGTTCCTGGAGCACACATGGGACAAAAGTCAGGCTAAAAACCACTCATTTATCTTTATATTCAAATATTTTCTCTGTTTTTGTCCTTTTCTATATCACATTCTAGTTATCTGCTTCAAAGTGAACAGAAGCCCAGCGAAGAGGACCAGTACTGACCAGCAGGACACTGGTGCGCAGGTGAGAGTCGGGGGATCTGAAGAGGAAGCGGCCGCAGGTCTCCAGCAGTGTGCAGGCCATCTCTATGTGATGGTGCGTAAAATCAGACAGCAGCATCTGGAGGAGGAGGAGACATGGACAGAAATCTATAACAGCTAAGCTGGATGGCGTCTCGCCGGCTGTGTTGTTATTCTGATGCATGCACACAGCAGAGTGAGCTCTGGAAGCATTTCGTGCTTGTTATCACAGTGAGGATGAAGGTAAGTAAGTTTAGTTTTTCACATCTTCATCTTAATGTGGCATTTTGTTTGTGATCTGATTGGATGAGCAGAGATGTTGCTAAAAGTGTTTGTTTTCTTGTACAGGGATTTAAAGACAAACAGCCTGATGTGACTCAGACAGTGGCTTCTTTCACCCACCTTGAGACACTGAAGTGTGTCTGTCTTCGAGAACATCTTGAACTTGGCCAACTCGCCGATAAATCTGACGGTTTTATTCTTGGTCTCGATGTTGATCTGATCCTTCTTCCGAATCTAGAAACACAGATTCGATTCATAATGTTGGCAAGTGTTTTTAATGCAAACATGATGGAAAAAAGCAAGTATGACAAATCTATTTAAAACCTGATGTAAGTGAGCAGAGAACCTACATGAAACCTGAAGTCTCCCTTCAGCATGGAGCACAGGTCCTCCGCCACGTCTGACATGCATGGATGCAGCGTCGCCACCAGACGAGAGTAGAAGGGCAGGAGATCCAACCTGCAAGAGGAGAATGACTCAGTGCACCGCTCACAATCACACAATCAGTCATGATGATAGCACCCCCTTGTGGTGATTAAAGGTAAATGCCAAAACAGATGAAACCTACCTCTGTCTGGGGACAGTGAAGAGAGCACGGACAAGCTTCCTCCTGTTAGACTTGGTGTTCATGTTCATGCAGAAGTCCATGGCAGCCTGTAGGAATCACCAGAGATCATAAACCTTTACAAACTATCCAACATCTGGAAGCTCATTGTTTTCCTTGGATCAGTGTGTCTGTCCTCACCTTGTCTATGAGGTCTCTGTTGACACAGTTGGGAAGCTGCTGGATGAAAGCATCCACGATTAGCTTCAGGTGAGACCCCGTGTTAGCTTCCTCGTCCTCTTGTTCTGCACAGACACAAACAAATGTTCACTTTGTATGCAGTTCAAATGAAACCAATGCAATGTGTATGTTCCACTTATTGTTCATAGTTTTGTCTATACAAGGATTTCTGCACCATTTTAAAAACTCAAAGTATTAGGCCACATCTCTTAATCTCTGAATTCAGATATTTTTAGTCCTATATCCATGCAGTCTTCCTTTTTGTGAAACAAAAAAAAGAGGATGCCACTACTGCAACTAGTCAGTTCATAAGATTTCTTACCTCCTAGATATTACAAAATCAACTGTAAGTCAGCGCTGCTTCTGTGAATCAACTGCCCCCATCTCATCCTGTTGCCATCATCCTCCTGTCACATCAACCCTTGTACGTCCTCCTTCACTACATCCATCCTTCCTCTCTAATCTTCTTTTCCTTCTGCAGCTTCTTTTCCCTCTTGTCCTCTGCAGCTCCATCTTCATCATCCTTTATCTGATATATCCACCAACCCTCCTCTGCGCATGTCCAAACCACTTCTCTGTCCACTGTTACACTTCTGACCCAAGCATTAGGTAAATTCATACATTCCAAGTAGAGCTGGGCGATATGAGATTTTTTCATATCACGATATGTTTTTTT